AACTTAATGGCTTTAGGATCTTTATGTTATTTCCTGTTAAAACATATTTACTCCAAAAGGAAAATTATGGAAGAATGTTTTCAGGCACTTAACATTATTTAATCACTCTAAAAAGGTTTGCCTTTCGGTAAAGCAGTAAAACTTTATATGATGATTGCCTACGAAGTATCTGTTCTGAAGGAATAGTTAATTCTCCTGTAATGGGATCTCCAAGCTATGAGGTACTAAGGGAGCTTGCTGGAATAGGAAAAAATAATGTTTTTTCAAAAAGTAGATTTATGGCCTGTTGAAACCTCACCTCCTCACTGCTCTTGCCAAGGGAGAACAATATAATTTTATGGGCTGCTTCTTATTTGCAAATGCATGAATTTAATCCTTGAATAAATGAGTTCTCACAGGGAGGGGGGCACTGCAGGAACGACACTGAAAGGACAGAGGATGGCACACTTGAAGTTGATAAGCGGTCAAAGCAGAGGGTGGCTGAAACTGGCATTGTGTTTTTTAAGATCTGTGAGAGCTAATGCACTGCAACAGTATTAAACTCAGCAGGCAAGTTGAGAGAGTTTGACCTTTTCTCCTACTTGGTTAAAAAAAACTCTAAACCAACTTAACACTGAAAATTACTGAGGAATTATGAGCATGAACCAGTCCGTACCTGCCCTGTAGGGATTTTACTAACACACTCACTGATACAGAGCTCAGCTGGGGTGTCCTCCCAGAGCTTTGGGAGGGAGCAGAGCTGCCTGTTGCAGAGGGTGCTGCAGGTTCCCAAGTCAGAGATTTCATCTGCATCCCTGTTCTGTGGATGTCTGCTCTCCATGCTCATCTCCCTGGAAGGTAACAACCGTGCAGGCACTCACCAGGGAAGTAGGAGAGGTAGGTTTAGCTTCTCTTGAGCACAGGGCTGGGAAGCACACCATGCTGCACCCCAGTGTTCAGCTGCCCTCCTGGCCAGGGAGGGGGCTGCCATGGGAGGGCCACCACCAGTGCCCAAGCAAGCTAGCTTAGAGCTACCACAGGTCCATTTACTGTGTTTCGTGGAGAGGTATTTAGTATTTTTCCTTGTTGTTAGCATGTCTGATTGCACAATGCAAACAAGTGCCAAAGTTATGTGTCCCCAGCTGAGTGTGCTGACCATGCTGGTACCCAGGTAGTGCCAACTCCTTGTAGGCACTCAGTAGAAATTCCATGGGCAGGGGCACTGTCCCAAGGGCTGGGAACATCCTTTAATCTTCCTGAGCCTTTCTCTGTTTTACCCTATCGTGTTTTCATCAATGCCCATTTGATTTTCTGTCCTGCTCGAGATTGGAAGAGTGATCACTGCAGAAGGGCCGTGCTGCTGGTGAACATCTTGCTTAATGTCAAGAAGATCTCATTCACAAGCAGTACTCCAGTGACCAACCAGAAAAATCAGAGAAGCAAAATTCATTGCTGCAGTATCTTGTTCCAAAGTTGCAGATAAAATTGTGTCTTATTTGTTAATTTGGTTTTCTTTCCTGTAGTGGAAGTCTCAGAGTCCCACTCACAGACTGGTGGGACTGTGGGGACCACAAGACAGTTATATTGCAAAAATGTTTGTTCAGAGCTTTCCCATCCAGCAAGAGAAACAGTTAAAGAAGCATGTTTTTAATTTCTGTTGTTTGGTTGACTGGTTCAGCTGCCTAAGAAAACAATTACAGCCATAAAGACATGGGCACGCAGTTGGATGCTGCAGCAGTGGAGCTGTTGGATGTCCTGCCAAACAGCGCACTCTGCGCTCAGCCTCTGATGTGTTGCTAATTTAGCTGAAAAAGTGACACCGGATGCTATCAAGAATCATTCACTGCAATTTTATCATTTGAGATGAAGATTTTAGAGATACATTTCAGAGTGGGTTCCTAGGTAAATTAAACGATTTAGAAACCCAGATAGTAATTGCTGTAGGACACGCTGTGCAAAGAATAGGGTTTTAATATCCACACAGTGCTGGCTGCACAGTCACTGGTACCCCTGACTTCAGCTTCGTGACTGAGTTTTACTGGGGGAGCTTTGAACTCCTGCCAGGGCTGGGCAAATTTCTGGTTGGAATAAGTTGGGCTTTTTCCAGTCAAAAAAATTGGAAATATTTTTGAATTGAACTATTCACAGGAAAAAGCTAGAAACTCCTTGATGCTTTTTAACTTTCCTTCAACATTGTTATTTCAAAAAAAAATCATACTTATCTACAATTTAGAAATGCTACACTAAAAAAAAAAAGAAAATTCTTCTCTTTGAACCATTTTGTTGAGTAAATTGACTTAAATTTATTTTTAAGGCTAAAATATTTAATCGGAAATCCCCTTGACTTCAAATATTTTATTACCAACCAAATATTTAGTTTCACTGAACCCAAAGGGATTTTTTTTGTGGCGCCTCCTCTCACTGGAACACCAAGAAATATGTTTAAAATGTTCCAAATCAATCTGAATTTTATTTTCTTTTATAAGTGAAACAACACTGTTTACACCTAGTGCTATGCAAACATAAGGTCTAACTTACAGAGGAATACATCATCCAACATCCTAACCAGGCTGTTTTTCCTCAAAAATTCCAAGTTTGGGCTCTAACGTTTGATGAAATCTGTGACTTCTCTCAGGCTGTGTCAGAAGCGATGAGGTGTTTCCTGTCTGAGATGTCAGCTTTGATCTTCAGTGCATTTGAACAATATTTATCTGTATTTACCCTCCTGCCTTTGGGTGAGATTGTCACCCTGGGATGAGGTTGTCACATCAGACAATGTTGTGTCAGGGCACAGCCACGCAGCTGTAACATTGAAGGCTTCTGCTGGCCTTTTTGCCACCCAGACTCTGACAACTCTGGAGGGCTGCATCAGTGCCAGATTTCCTTCCTTGAGCTTCTGGATGGATGATTTTGTTAACGAAGCTCGCTGTGTGACTCTGCGAGGTTTTACCTCTCTGCCTGTGTCATTGTATTAAAAAAAAAAGGGAAGAAAATTTATAATCTACTTCTTTGACATTCCCAAAGGCTTCCAGAAAAGTGCAAAATGTGATATGGTTATACTCCTTGGCTATAAATTCCATTCTTTTGTTACTAAGGATTCTGCTATATGTTAGGGCACATTCTGTCTATGTGTGTGGCCACTTCTGGTGCCAGAGGGAAATATAAAATAGCCCATTTCTCAATATATATGTCCTCGGGCCATTACTCTGCATCTGACCTACAGTCTGGGTAGAGTTGCTTTGTCTGCAGTGAAGATTTCACTCTTGTGTTTTACAGCACCTGGAAGGCAGCCAGTCACTGGAGAGAGCAAGCAGGAGTATGAGATACTACTGTGCATCAGGACAGCCTTAAAGTGAATGTCATTTATTCTCAGCTTTGAGAACTGAATTCCATGGGTTGTAATTGAATCCGCTGTCAGACCCATGGGGCTCAGTTCTTCAGCTTGGATATTTCTGTCTTCATACACACGGGAGATCAAAGAAGCACTTGATCATTCACTGACTCTTCTGGATGGTGATAGCAGCAAGTAGGAGAGAAAGAATAACTGATGTGAATCATTTTAACAGGCAGGTTTCATTGTGAAGGCCAGGCTCTCTCAAGTTAAATAGCTATATGGTGATTGGATCTCTCCTTAACTGATAGGCTCTATGTTACTATTCACTGCTTAATTCACTCTGTTCTTTCCTCTCACTTTTATCAAGGTTACATATAAATCCTGAGATATTGCTGATTGAACGACAGTGCCCAAATAGTGCGAAGTGATGCAGTGCTCCTACGAGCAGCTGTGGTGAGTTTCACTAGGCCAATACAACCCTGGATCTCCCCCATTTGAGCACCAAGTTTCCCAGCTGATAATGTGCTGTAACCTCCTCTGTCTGGTACCACTACTGTGCAGTTGTTTCTTTTGCTTTGCCAAATACCCGTTGTCAGCAAGAAAAATATCTCGGTTGCGACTGTAAAGAATATGCATTTGCACCAGCTGCGAGCACCCTTACATAAACACACATTTGCTTTCCTGAACATGGTAATATGCTCCCAGAGTGTTTGGATTAGGGAGTTTCTAGTGTAATCAGTGGTGGCAACGTGAGTGCTGTTTGAAGGCTCAGCAGCACAAGCATCCCTTTATAGGGGGATTTATTTAAGTCACAGGCTAATGTATTTTTTATTGGAGGATCTGTGCTAAAATTTTTCATTCAGGCATCAGGAAAATAATATTTGTGGTCTTTAAACATGTAAAGAGTTATCAGTGCTAATGAGCTTTCCACCTCTTTCCTGCAATAATAACACCTTCTAAATTACATTTTTCCAGCTCAGTAAAGTGATACATTGATCTCATCCCTGTGGTGCAATGCTCGCAAAAGCATAGAAATATTAAAATCCCACAGGTGCAGGAGCAGCGTGCTCAGCTAAGTAGCTTAAAACTGTCATGTGCCTTTTATTCTGAAAATGTATTTACACTAAAAAAAATCAGATACAATCGCTGCTGCCTGTGGATACAGATGTACCTTCATAGTGAAGTGCTTTTTATACCAGTTTTTATTCTAGGTGTTGAAGATGTTCTTTGTGGCTGTCTGAAGTGTATTGTGCTCACTAGTCTAGATATTACAGTTCCTGGAAGAATTCAGCAGCTCCAGCAGCTCCTGCTGTGAGAATATCCATTAAAGAAGAGGGAGGAATGCACAAAGCAGAGTGATGAAGTCTCATTTTTTCATTTCCTCTATCATCCCTGTCAGAAAGAGGAAATGAAATTTGAGGTCAGAGTTAGAAAAATCTGCAGAAGAAGAGGAACAGAATAGTTCTACAGGATGTCTAATGCAGGCAGCGTGATGGATAGTAGATGGCTGAAGGCACAAAACTTCATCCACTTCCTTCGCTATGAAGTCCAGCCTTCAGGCAGTGATGCAGCAGAGAATATGATGTGTTTATAGTGGTAATCACACAAGGTCACTGGTGAAATCAAGATGGTCTTTGGTGCAGGAGCCTTTGCAGTCCCATCTCTTTGAGGGCAGCCCTCAAATGCTTTTTTTTTCCCCTCAAAGTCCACAGTAAGTCTTGAACTAATAATAACAAAATTGATGTTATCTTGAATTAAGCTTAAGTAGTTAAAAGATGAAGGGGTGAACAAGTCACCATCATCTAAGTGAGGGAACAGATCCAGGGCTGTTAGGCAGATAATGGCTTGTGCCTGCAGTAATACTCCAGGAAGGGTGATGGGGTACTCATGGTGAGCCCCCAGAGTGTGGTTCCTCATTCCCTACAAATTCACACACCAGAGCACCACACCTTTGAACTGCAAATAGGATATCACTACCAAAGAGTTGATGGCTGTATGTGAATAGCGCTGAACCTCCCCAAGTGCCGCAGGCTGCCTATGCCTAGGTGAAAGTCATGAAACTAATGCCTAGCTTTTGAGCTCCAGCTCTTCATCAGTGTTGGGCTTGCATGTAGGAAAACAGTCGCACAGCCCACATGTAATGAAAAAGTAATTGGTATTTTTGTCCTGAAAAAGTATATGTTCTGATTGTAGCTGTTCACGTGAAAAAATGGTGAAGGAAAGAGCTGTTCCCAGAGTTTGCCGTTTTCATCTCAAAGCTGCCTAGGTGTTTTCTGTGCTCCACAATTCCTGCTGGGTGGGAGAGAACAGATTAAAATGATTAGACACAGAGCTATTTTGAAAGCAGAAGCGAGTCTGCCTTTCAGCCCTGCAGTGACCAATCATTCGGTGTGCTCTTCCTTTGCTATAGGCTCCTGTAGTTACTTTTGAACCTTGCTTGCCCTGTGGGTGACAAGGCATCTTCTTTTTGGACATTCTTGGGATCTTTAAATCAGGTAAGTTCTCAAGTTGCAGGCTGCCAGTGCCATGTCTTTCAGCAGAACAGTATTCTTACCATGCACTTTCAAACCAACATGCCTTCTGTCTGTCTAATTGTGCTCCCTCTCAGGGAACTGGTTTATTCTACTTCACTATAGCCAGGGCAGTCCTCAGGATGCCTCAGCCTGCAGCTCACGCTCCAGCCAGCCTGCATGAGGCTACGTGCCTCTAAGCACACTGAAGTAATGCAGTGTCATGGTGCTGAAGTGATTCAGTGACTCATTTCCTGATGCTCTGTCAGATGTAGAACGTGTTACGTGTATTAATTGATACAAGACCTTACTGAATCCACCAGCTTTGTGCACAAACACCAGAAGTGAAAGCATCACAATTCTGATGACTGCGTCTCTTCTGAAGGATTTTCTCATCTTTTCTTGCCCCCTGACTTACGAAACTGATCTCTTCAATCTGGTCCTCTAAATGTTTCATTTCAGAGTGAAATTCTGATTTTTTCATTGTAGTTTTTTTCCTCTTGGCAGGATCATTCAGGTGAATCCAGCTGTATTCGTTACTGCTGCTCTAGATCTGTAACTTGAATTTGGGGCAAGTAAAGCATTTGCTAAAAGAATATACCCTCATCCTCTTCAAGCTGATCTATGCCACCTTCTGGTGCTTATTATTCTATAATCTTACTCTGCTTATTTTGTTCTGTATAAATCAATGGGCTGAATCCCCTGGCACAGCTCTAGCAGACCAGCAAGGCTACCTACATTTTAACTGAGAGTCCAAACACCTAAAATGGAGAAGCAGCCCTGAATTCTTTAGCATGCTTGTTGCTCTGCACTTGGTGGCTTTCTGCTTGTTATTCACAACGAACAAATGAGGGCAGATACCCTTCTTCTTCTGGTATAAGAATGCCTGAGTGTCACCCTCTGCTGCTGTTTGTGTGGTTTTCTGCCTCCCACTCCTTTGGCTGACATTCTGTACCCAGTTCTTGGTCCTCAGTCCCTCCCTGCCTCTCATGGGGCATCTCTCTTGTGGTATTTTTTTCCTCCTCTGCATATGGTGGGATTGTGTTGCTCTTCTTCTCTGTAGCTCATCCCCCAGGACTCTTTTCTCCCTGCTACAAGACAGTGCTTGAATCTGGTATAAAAATCAAACCTCCTGAGTGCTGGAGGGGCTTATGCACTACTTCAAAAGCAGAGTGGAAAAAATTAGCAGAGCAACACCTAGGGAGTGGACAGAGGCAGACAGAGGGAGAGGAGCTGCTGCAGCAGTAACAGCCCTGTAGGTGCTCCTGTGGTTTGCATTGTAGGTAAAGTGAGAAAAGAAAGCAACCTGTGGCATTAAGCCTGCTCCCTTTTGCTGCCTCCCACTCATCGTTTTCTCCCCAAGCCTCTGCATTTCTTTCTTACACCATGTGTGCCTTGTCCAGTGAATGCTGATGAGAGGCGTTAGTGCAGGCTGCAGACAGGCATTTATTCTCCGCAGACTATCTTAAGTCTTTTCAAATGAGTAGCTGTTTATTGCATGTTCCTCTAGAGATGGCCCTGGACTTGTTGCTCTTTGGTACCCCAAGACAAGATAGCTGTTGCTGAATGTGGCTCTTCTTTTTGGCTAGCATCCTTATTCGCTTCCAGGAAAATGATGAGTTTATGTCAGGTTCAGTAATCCTGATGGCTGCACAGTTGAGAGCAACAGCACTTTAATATGAGTGTGAGTGTGCATGTGTATATATGGAAACTCTGCTAAGGTCACTAGTTTTCAATGACTCATATTCTGTTTTTGTGGCAGCCCAGCCATAGCAGGTTGTCCTTTTTTATCTTCTGTCTCTTTCCTTTAAAAAAACCACTACATCAGAAAAGTTAATATCTAAATATAGCTTGGAAGGTCCGTGTCTTTGGCAGGACACACGCATTCAAGTACAGGAACCTCTGTTCACTGGCATCCCTCTTTAAATCTGCAGTACTAGCCTATTCTTGCACTGGCAAAGAAGCACTTTTAAAATTTACATTAGGTTAGAGTTATTGTGAAAGATATTTTCTGGGCTGTCTTTCTGGGGGTCATCCTTATCTTCTGACTGCTCACTACCAACCTGGAGAGGACTGTTGGGCAAAGCCAGCTGAAGCAGGCTGTCCCTTTATCTAACTGAGGCACTGAGATATTTCTGGTTCCCATTAGTTTCTACAATGAGGGAATTTTCCACTTTTTCATTTCTGTGCTAAAGATAGGACTTGCACTGCCCCAGCACTTATGGACCATAGAATCATAGAATGGTTTGGGTTGGAAGGGACTCTAAAGAACATCCAGCTCCAAACCCCCTTCCATAGGCAGGGACACCTTAGGCTAGTTTGTACTGCTCACAATCCCCTCCAGCCTGGCCTTGAGCACTTCCTTGAAGACTTGGAAATTTTTAGTCAAAAAATGTCATTTATTGGAAGAATCTGCCAAGGTAAGATTCTTTAGCTTTTTCTAATTTAAAAAAACCTCTTTCTCTGACTTTTTACCCCTTTGTTTTCCTCTCTTACCCCACAAAAACCCTATGGTCTAATACCTATTGAAAAAACTATTGATTTTGGAACACAGATTTTGGGGAAAGGAAGCTGTTCCATTTCAAGATGTGAAGGAAGTTCTAAAATCAGATTTGAAATACAAACACAAATTGCAGAGGATTTGTCTGTATGTGTTAGTATCTGTAGCTTGCCTGTAAAATCCTCTGCTGTACGGGTGATGGCAGAGCACCACCAGCCTTCATTCATCACTGCTGGAGCAGCAGGCAGCACTCCACTGTGCTGTGGAGCTACCTCTTAGAAGCAGATCATAGACAAATGAACCAATTTGTGCAAAAATAATCATCACTGGGATGATTCTTTCAGATTCATAATAGTGTATTAAATAATAACCATTAATTTGTTGTCTAGAAAAACACCCGGACTCAGCCAAGCATTTCCAGTTTCTGTAGATAGCAATTCAATTACTATTGTGCTGGAGTTAAATCTCATGGTATTCCTGTGAGAAATTTTATTCTGTATTTATTCTCATTTTATGGACTGGGACACAGGGATGTACTTGGCTGAGGACACAAAATAAATCTATTTGAAGTTTTCTAGGAATTTTGCCATAGTTAACATCAGTGGTTGAAAAACTTGAGTATAAAGGATGCTGTCAGTGTTGTCTGTAGCCTAGCCCTCCTCTGAACAGTTGCCCATAGTGCGGAAATGTCCATTATCTGCCTGCACTGTTGCTCAGAAAGTTGCTCTGCCTGTTCCTGCCAGGGAGAGATCTTAGAGGAGAGGAAAATGCCTCCTGATGCCCACGGATCACCTAACACCATCAGAAGCAGAACCACCTAAATCAGACCCACTTCAAAAGCCTCCTGTTAACATTTTACAGGTTCACTTGTTTTACATATTTCATCCTTTCTGTGTTTTCCTCTGCAGGCTCATGTAAGGAAGAGTTTTGCCTGGATGCAGAAATCTGTGGTTCTTGTGACATTTTTAGGCACATCAACTGGTTCACACAGCCCTTGCGAACAGACCGGAGGCTGCAGCACATCCTTCAGTGCCTGGGCACTTGCACCATGGTAGGGGCTTAGCAGTGGAAATTTTTATCTCTCCCAGCAGGAAAACAAAGCTTTTCTCTTGACTGAGCTCTCATGCGGTGCTGACAGCACTGGCTGGGGTGCTGCCAAAGAACAAAGGGCAATATTGTCTTTAAAAAGCAGAAAGCGCATTAAAAGTTTCTAAGCTCTGTTTGTGAAAATCTGGAGTCACTTCATTAGGAGCTCAGAATTGGTCTGACTCCTTCCAGCCTCCCCACTTCACCCTCGTCTCTGTGCGATATTGCAGCTGCTCTGATGAAAAACAGTTATTTAAAAATCTGCTTGTAGCTATGGCAACCTTCATGCACTGCGTTCGACCAAAACTCTGAAACAGCAGCAGAAGTTTCTTAACAGGGTATTTATGAAGATTTTTGTCTTTGTACAATTTAGAATGGAAATACTCCAGTTTTAAAGAGGGGGCGGTTATCAAAATCTCATTAATTTGGGAATAACATTTTTGTTGTGGGAGCTGCTGCTTAGCTCTTCTTTTTGTGGTTCTGAGGTTTTTTGGTTGTGGTGTGTTTTTTTTTGTTTTTTTTTTGTTTTGTTTTTTTTTTAAGATTCCCCTGATTTCTTGAACTCTTCAGAGCCTAAGACCTGGGGCACTTTCCAGCTCCCTGTTCCTCCTGCCTGTGCCTGCCCTCCTGCTCTCTCTAGCAGATGGCTAGTTTTGCAGCAGTGTGGTGGAAGGAAAGTGGTGTTGGGATCAGGCTGGTGAGGATGGAGCATTGCCAGGGGTCCCAGACTTTGCCTTCTGTTGGAGAATCCAGGTGATTTATTTAGCCCTTTGCCCATGCAGTTGGCCAGTTCCCTGCTCCGAGAGAAGCAAATAGATGTGCTTAGTTAGGTTATTTGGTGCCTCCATGATATTTCAACATTTCTCAAAGACATGAACTTTCAGGGTGTACTCAGTTTCTCTAGCTACAGTCACAGTAGACTATTCACAGACATCTCAGTTGTGCTGGCAGCACCTTAGTAGAGTTACATTTGCAAAGTTGCTATTTTTCCTTTTCTTTTACTCCCTCTTTTTCTCTGTGCATTCACACCTTCAAAATCATCAGGATAAAATTATGGAAGCTTCGCTGAGATGTACACTCTGTTGCCCTAAACCCCCTTGAGCCATGATGATATGTTCTGGTGCCTCCAAAGTGTGGATTAGGTCTAATTAATACTGTTTCTTGGTCAATGGTTTTGACACAAATGCATCGAAGGGATTTATGTAATTACAGATGTAACAGCAAGGGCTCTTTTGCTAGGAAGCTCTCGGGGCTGTGGCAGGGAAGTTTGCTCCTAGTGATGGGGTTTTGGCCTCCAGCCACTGTAGGTATGTGTCTGCCCCATCACTCTTACACTGTTTTTTTGCCTGGGCAGGTTTGAAGCCACCGATTTGCACTGAAAGATGCTTTAGGTGTGGACAGGCACATTCCTCAGCTAGCACACATTTGTATAACTGAGCATTGGTACCTTTTGTCCGTACCAACAGGGTTATTCCTGACCCATATGGTGAAATGTTCATCTTTTGAAATGCTTCACAATAGGTTATAATGAGCCAGCAAGAGGACGTGTTATCAGGGTAGTCAAAGAGGATTGTATTTCTTTATTCTAACCTGTAGAAAAAAAGAGTTGAATTGATCTCATTTCTCACAATACATCTAAGAGAAAACATGCAAGGGATGTGAAACATTCAACACCTTCCAGCCCTCCCACTGTGCATTTTGGATAACTGACGTTGTGTCCACCCTCCTTCTGGTACAATGAACATCCAGTGTCTAATCCATACACCCCATCTGTTGCTGTGATCAGGTGAGAGAGGACCAGGACATAGAAGAATATAGGCCTATTAGATAGGCAGGGCTCCAGAAGGGGAATTGCACTACTGCAAACAAAAGAGATTGAATGATGAAACTTTGCTGTCCATTGATTGTGCTAAACCAACTTCATTCAGGGCTGTGAATCTCTAATGGAGACTGCAAAAATTGCCAAAGGGGCTGGAGTTGTACCTGTATTGGCATGGGAAGTTTCTGGTTTGATAGGAAATTGGATGGATCGAAGAAAATAAGGCTGAATAGAATCTGAAGGAATCATCTAGTCTAGACCGTGCAATGTGCTGGGGGGCATTCATAGACATCAAGGAGATGTAGGCCTTGGGTTCAGGACTGGATCCAGGCTTCAGCAGTTTCATGTTTTGAAATTTCCCTATCACAGTACAACCACATATCAAAGGGTTTGCAGAGCCCTGCATGCCTTTGGCATGGAGGTGAACACGCAGGAAGGAGAGCTGAGGTGTGTCCATCCTTCACAGAGTATCAGCGAAGCATGAAATGGGCTGGAGGTACAGGGCTGCAAAGACATCATCCGGTCATGTACATCCTCTTTTCTGCTAGGTCTGATGCAGAAAATAACCTGGTGAGCCCCGAGGACTAAAGCTCTTCTGCCTTTTCTGAGAAGTGCCATGTGCAGCATGCAGGCACAGAGAGCTCCACTGCATTCCCATCTGTCTGCTGGGGACACGTCAGGATCCATGCCAAACCATGGATTAAAATAACATTAACACCATCTACTTCAGGACATTGTATTCAGGCAGTCCTACCATGAGCTAAATCTTTCTGACTTACAAGGAAATTATTATTCTCAGCTTGCATATAGGCAGTCAGAAAGTTGTGTTAGAAGCTCTAGCACGCCATGGTGTGTTTTTATGGTTGGTTTGTGGGGTTTTAAGTCAAATTGGTTTCTTTCAGCAGTTGGAGAAAGAACACAATTAGAGGGCAAAGACAGGGAGTGATGCTGGGATGATTTGCTTCAGTATAAGTTAACTTGCAGCCAGCAATCACCTTTGCTTAGATTTCATTTTAATGGGAATTTTCTCAGTCACTGTTTGAGATGAGAAGATGTGGATAGATCTTTTTTCAGCAGTTCAGTGCTTTTAGCTGCAAAACTGTAATGGAATGAAAAATGCAGTTTGGAAAGGAACCAACACTGTTTGTTTTGTTCTGCAGTTTCCCCACTGTTGAAAACATGAAAACAAACTCTAACAGCAGCTCACAACTGGAAGGAATTAACCAAGTAAATACAGGAGCTGCAGCTTGCGAAAGCTGCTTTCAAAAACTGGATGAAGGAACCACTGAATCCCTGCAGCTCCTCAGCACCCACTGGTTGGGCTGCTGCTGCCAGAGCAGCTTGTGGCTGCTGGCATTGCTCTCACCTGTGGCACCAATGGCTCGGTGGAGCTGCCAGGACAAGCTCTTGCACGGGACACCTTATATTAAAACAAAGGTACAAAATATTTATAGGAGCCTTCAAAAGATCTGTCTGTCACCCATCTGGCTTCTTTATTCAGATACAATGCGCTGTTCCCAACGTAACTAGTCCTTCTCTAGTTTAACGTGTTGAGGCTTTTAAGACCCGCTGCTCTCCATCATTTCACAGGAGCTCTCCAGCAGATCTGGTGTGTCAGAAATTAGTCTATGTATATTTGCTTAGTTAGTGTTTCAGCTTTTATCAGTCCATCCTGGCTAGACACGTGGCAAGCTCTGGCCTCCTATTTCTACCGTTTGGTTTTACTTTCCTTCAGGGATTTTTCTCTTTCCCGTTAATCCTGCAGCTTGCATCCTCAGGAAAACAAATTAAATATATTTTTTAAAGCGCTCTGGACTTCTGCTTAAATGAAACCATCTCCTATAAACCCCTTCTGAGCTCCAAGAAATCTTGTGATAAAGCCTCTGATGCAAACTTCTCAAGATTGGCTGAGAAACTGAAAAAGTGCATATTTGCTTGAGCAGAACAAATATTTATAGGAGCCTTCCAAGCTCTGTCTCCTGCCATCTGGCTCTGCCGCAGCGGAGGCGCTGGAGCCTTCCCCTCGCCTACACGTGCGGCGGGGGGAGCGGGGCACAGCCGCGGCTGCACTGCCAGGCACTGACTGCGTTCAGTGCCTCGGGGCTTTTCCTCCCTCTCCTCCGCGAGCGAGAGAAGTTGCTAGGCTCGATTTTCCCACTAGAGGACAGGAATGTATCGGCGAAGAGCGGCGGAGCGCGGGGAGCCCGCTTTTAGTTTCGTAAGGGAAGGCAAGGGGAAAAGATGCAGTTAGGGTGTGGGCATCTAGTGATGTAGGGTGCTAAGCGTCTGCCAGGCGTTTTAGGGGGAGGGAAATAGAGAATGAACTCTGGCAGTTAATTCTAGAGGTACAAACAGTGGAAGAGGAGGTGTGGTGCTCCTCAGGGCTGCTTATTGGCACGGGCCTTGCTCACCATCTTTGCTGGTGACAGGGATTGAGCACCCTCAGCAAGTTTGTTGATGGCACCAAGCTGTGTGGTGCTGCCAACACTCTGGAGGGAACGGTTGGATCCAGAGGGACCTTGGCATACTTGAGAGGTGGGCCAATGCCAGCCTCATGAAGTTCAACAAGGCCAAGTGCAAGGTCCTGCACCTTGGTCAGGGCAATCCCAGGCACAGATATAGGCTGGGAGGAGAACGGATTCCAAGCAGCCCTGAGGAGAAGGACTTGGGGGTGTTGCTCGATGAGCAGCTCACTATGGTTTGGCAGTGTGTGCCTGCAGCCCAGAACCACCCCACCCTGGGTGCTGGGCTCTCAAGCAGGACGGGGTTCTCCCCCTCTGCTGTGCTCTGGGGAGACCCCCCCCTACAGCCCTGATCCAGCTCTGGGGCAACAGCACAAGAGGGACGTGGAGCTGCTGGAGCCAGTCCAGAGGAGGCCATGGAGATGCTGCGAGGGCTGGAGCAGCTCTGCTCTGGAGCCAGGCTGAGAGAGCTGGGCTGGGTCAGCCTGGAGAAGGGAAGGCTCCTGAAGGGGAGACCTGAGAGCAGCTCCAGTGCCTGAAGGGGCTGCAGGAAACCTGGAGAGGGGCTTGGGACAAGGGCGTGTAGGGACAGGACAAGTGGGAATAGCCTTAAATTGAAAGAGGGTAAATTTAGATTAGATATAAGGAAGAAATTCTTTGCTATGAGGAGGTGGTGAGACACTGGCATAGGTTACCCAGAGAAGCTGTGGCTGCCCCATCCCTGGCAGTGTTCAAGGCCAGGTTAGACAGGGCTATGACCAACCTGGTCTGATGGAAGGTTTCCCTGTCCATGGCAAGGGGCTTGGAACTAGATCTTTAAGGTCCCTTCCAACACCAACCTTTCTAGGATTCTACGATTTTGCTTTAAGAATATTAGTTTTAGCAAACAATTGCAGGTGGTATTGGAACAAGGGGTAAAGTTAGTGATGGGGTATTCTCAAAACCGATACTTCCACTGACTGGCACTGGGAATTTGTCTCATTCCTTTCCTGGACTCTGCAGGAGAAGAAATTCAGCATTCCCAGGCTTGTTGAATCAAAATAGCTCTGCAGTTGCC